TCTCTCTCTGTCAAATAAATAAATAAAATCTTTAAAAAGTAAATAAATAAATAAATGGAATCTTCCATATATGTTCTTTTCTGTCTGGCTTCCTTTGCTTGACACTACTCCGTAAGGTTTCATGTGATAAGTGGCAGTCATTCATTGCATGATATTCCATTTATTTATCCTCTCTCTTGTTGATGAGGATTCAGACCATTTCCAGTTTAGGGCTATTATGTAGATCACCACTATGAACAATCTTGTGCATGCCATTCATATTTCTGTTGGGTAACTATCCAGGACTCAGGAGTGGAATTTCCAGGTGGTAGCGCAGATACGTGACTTAATTTTAGTAGAAATTTCCAACCCATTTTCCAAAGTGGTTGTACCACATGTTATGGATTGAATTGTGTCCTCCCTCCCCCAATTCATATACTGAAGTCCTAACACCCAGTACCTGAAAAATGTGACTTTAATTGGACATGGGACCTTATGGAAGATGAGGTCCTTAGGGTGGGCCCTAATCCAATATGACTGACGTCCTTAAAAGGGGGGAAGGAATTTGGACAGAGAGATGGACATGCACACAAGAAAGATGGCATGCAAAGATGAAGGTGAAGACCACGGTGATGCCTCTATAAGCCAAGGAACCACCAAAGATTGTCAGCCAACCCCCAGACCTCAGGGGAGAGGCATAGGATGGATTCAGCCTCAGAGCCTCCAGAAGGAACCAACCCTGTTGACATTCCTAATCTCAAACATCTGGCCACCAAGAACTGTGAGACAATAAATTTCTGTTGTTTTAAGGCCCCTGGTTGTGGTCCTTTGTTAGACCAGGCACAGACCACTCATGCACCATGTTACCCTCCCATGGGCAGCATATGGGGATTCCACCTTCTCCACAGGCTCCCCAACACCTGATAGTATCAGTCTTTCTCATCCTAGCCTTTCTGCTTGGTGGCAGCAGCATCGTAGGTGCTTCTAAAGGTGAGCTTTTAAAGCCACGCATGGGGGCCCCATGTTCTGCTGGTGCCCCAGAGCTGATGAACCACCATAAGGCTCCCTCTGCTCCGGCTGCTGACACCAGGGCTTCCCCAGCACAGAGCTTACATCCATGGGCTCTGGGACACCTCCTGGTTCCAATCCCATGTCTACCACCAACTGACTCTGGGACCTTGGGCTGGCACTTTTGTCTTTCTGGGCCTCAGTTTCCCCAGTTGTAAATGGGCATGATGATAAAAATAGGGTCATCATGAGGATTAAATGAGTAACTAAGCTAACATAGATAATACACTTAGAGCATCTGGCACAAGTAAGTACTTCATAAGCACTGGTTTTTAGATTTCTCTTTTTCTTTCGCTCTCTATTCTTGATTTTCATCCCCTCCTCTTACTTCCTTCTTGGCACAGTGTTCTCTTCTCTCCAGAGAAGAATGTTTGACTTGTAGACGTCTTCCCTGCCTCTTTGAAAACTGAGCTGGGCACTTCTGAGAATTTTTTTGTGGTTCACATTGAGGCTGCAGGGCACAGAGGAGGGAGACACTTGAGGGTTCACAGGCTCACAGCCCTGCCGTCTGCCTTGGTGATTTAACCTGGTAGTCAGACTCTGCCTTCATGCACCTCCTCTAAGGGAAGAGTGTGACTGTGTCAGGGAGGAGGGAGGCAACCAGGGGATCATTTCTACATTTTGATTGGGTTTGTTCTTTTTTTTTTCCTGGAGTTTGGTCTGGGAAGTTCTCTTGAGTTTCATGCTGGTTCCTGGGTCCTGTGAGGGCTACATGATTAGAGGGGGCCTTGTCCTTCTAATGGTACCTCTGGGGCTTCCCCCACTAATTGATCCCGTTTCATTTCTGTCTGGGCTTCCAGAGCTCCAGGACTCCACAGGCCAAGAAAATTTGAGAGCAGAGCTCCCCCTTCTCCCACCTGTCAGGTCATACCTGAGTCCCATGAACGCTCACCTGCTTTCCCTCCTCACCTCCCACAGAGCAACGATGCCTCAGGGAACACTTGGAACTGGTTGTACTTCATCCCCCTCATCATCATTGGCTCCTTTTTTATGCTGAACCTCGTGCTGGGTGTGCTGTCAGGGTAAGTCTCTGCTACTCTCCCCATCCCACTCCCCCTCACCATCTTCTGACCATAAAGAGGCCATCAAACCTTTGTTTTCATTCTCCAGGCGGAGAATAGGCCTTCCCTTGTCTTGGCTTAGCCAGGAGGTTATTAGCAAGTCAGGTACAGGTGCACAGGTTGTGCACTGCTGAGAGCACCTAGTGAAAGGACTCATGGAGGCTGGAATCCAGCCCAACCGTAGCTCACAACACTGTACCCCTGGCATTGAGCAACCTTCACCCAGAGAAAGGGGAGCTTCTTTCCAGTGCAGACCTCTCATTCAGAAGTCTTTCCCAACCCACAACCCACCACACAAGAAACTTCTGTAGAGCTTTACTTTTTATAATTTACATTTTTAAAAAAGCCAATAGATTGGGTTCCTTCCTTCCCCTGTTTTCCAAATATACTATATATTTCAGTATACAATCAAATATGCATTTTCATGACACATAGTATCCCTTACCCCCAAGACTGAATGTGGGTTTGGGGTTTGAGGGGCTTGATCATAAATAGGTTTTATTTTTCTCGTCATAAGAAGTCTGGGGGCTGGAATGGTGGCTCCACGGTGCCATCAGGGACCCCGGTTCCTTCTCGCTTTCTACTCTGACATCCTTACCAAGCAGAGGCTTTCAGTCTCATGGATGCCTCATGGTCTTAAGATGGCTGCCTCACACTCACAAGAGGGCCACCGCACGTTCCAAACATGAAGAGGAGGGAGAGAACAGGAAGGGGAAGGATATATATCAGGCTACCACAGAAATCTTCAGCTTATGTCTCATTGGCCTAACTTAAAAGAGGGCTGAAAATATTCTTCACCCGAGAGTGCAGAGAATCAGAATGGAGTACCCAGCCAGCGATGGTTGGCATGGCATGGTTCTGTGGTTTTACTTTTTTTCCTCCAGCTGGGTGCAGTTGTTGGATAACGTGGGAAGCTGGCAGAAATACCCCCAACCCCTATGGTGTTCTGATCTCCCAGGACACCTGATTCCTCATGTTAAAGTCCACTGCCTGCCCTCTAGGAGTTTCTGAACCCCCAAACACACACACACGCGTGCACACACATACACACACACACAGTCCCTAAAATGCTGACAACAGCCAGACCTGGCTCTTTCCTGCTTCTGCAGGGAGTTTGCCAAAGAAAGGGAGCGGGTGGAGAACCGACGGGCTTTTCTGAAGCTCAGGCGGCAGCAACAGATCGAACGAGAGCTCAATGGGTACATGGAGTGGATCTCAAAAGCAGGTGAGGCCCTTTCGTCCCAGGAGCCTCGGAGCACACGGAGGGTCCTGCATGCAGCTCGCGGGTGGGTGAGGGGAGGACCCTAACAGCGGGAGAAAGAGGACCTGGCCTGGTGGCCCCACTTCTCAGCAACAGGAATCTGGAGCAGGGTAGAGAAACTTCCAGGGCGACACCAGGATAGGATGTCACATAATAGCTGAGGAACTTTGGGTGACATCCCAGCTCTGCCACCTCCTAGCCGCGAAGCTCACTTTCCTGCGCTCCAGTCTCCTTGGTTGTTAAACGGAGGTGTGATAGTGTCTCTCTTTGCCGGGCTGTGGGGTATGCAGTAAGATCATCCAAGCTAAGCCACCGAGAAAGAGCAGTGCCCGACACACAGTGGGCACGTGTTTATTGGTTCAGCCATTCAGCAGACGCTTATGGAACGCCCACTGTGTGTCCGGAACTGTTCTAGACACTGAGGATATGGCAGTGAACAAAAGACCAAATCCCCGCCCTCAAGGCTCCGGCGTTCTACTGAAGGAGACAGAAAATAAACAAGGACATATACTGTTGAGTGCTCCCCAATGCTGAGAAGAAAAATAAAGCAGGGTAGGAAGTGGGAAACAGTTGGAGGAGGTGGGGTGGTCAGAGAGGGTCTCTCTGAGGAGGTGACTTCCGAGCAGACCCGAAGGAAGCCCTATGGATATCTAGCAAAAGGGGTTCTGGGCAGAGGGAATAGCAAGTGCAAAGGCCCTGAGGTGGGAACGGTGTTGAGTCATAGCGAGGAAGCCAGTGTGGCCAGAGCAGAATACGTGCAGGGGAAAATGGGAGGAAGCGAGTACCGGGAGGTGACAGGGGCCGAATCAGGCAAGGCCTTACGGGTCACAGTAAGGAAACTGGGTTTTATTTTGAGGGAGGTAGAGGTGGTGTTGGCTCTTACACTGTTGTTGAAGTGAGGCTGGGAGTCAGGAAGAACAAAGCAGCTGCCACAATCAGCAAGAGGAGAGCGAAGGTGGCCAGGCAGACCCTTCTCCTTCCTGACCCAAGGGAACCCAGCCCAGGAGAGGCCTGCAGGCGCTGGAGCTTAACTATGTGCTCTTCCTCTTCAGAAGAGGTGATCCTCGCCGAGGATGAAACCGATGGGGAACAGAGGCATCCCTTTGATGGTAACTGCTCTGAACCTGGCTCAGGGGTGGGTCCCAGGGGAGAACACAGCAGCCAGTGCTGGGGGGACGGATTGTTTGGTTCTGAGGGGCTTCCAGGGGATGGATGTTCAGAGCCCAGGTGACTCCAAGAACAAACACGAGGTCAGTCAGGACCAGGGAGATACAGGCATGGGGCGAATCTGCTTCTTTGGGGCATTTCAGGACCTTGGTGCAGGCTTTACATTTTCTGACCTGCCCTTTCTGCTTTAACCATGTGCCTCAGTCTTCCTCATTCATAAAATGGGCATGACAGTATTAATACCTACCTCACCGGACAGTTTATGGAGATTGCATTAATGCTTCCAATAGAATGCCTACAAGAGTGCCTGGCTCAGGGTCAGCCCCATCTGTGTCGCTAAATAGATCAATAACCAAGAATCCAGCTTACTATTCAAGACAGTTGTCTCACATGTTAGAAATTTGGCTAGACAGAGCAATGACTTTGGATTGAAAAATACCAGGATTGAAAAGGAAGTAAAGGAGCTGGGCTTTATCTGAGTAGATTACAAAATGGGTTTTACTATTTTGGTGGGAGGGGAAGAGATGGACTCATGGGGGTGTCTAAATCATTTTGTTGGAAGTGTGTGCCTGAACTCATTGTCCCCTGGAGAGCTCATGGGGGAGGAATAGAACCTAAATATTGAGGGAAGGCATCCACAGTCTCAGCCTGCCTAGCAAGCGTGCTAAAGGTCAAGGGTGGGCCTGCTTTCATAGGAGTCCCTGTATGTCCAGTCCCAGGCATCCCAGAGGGGAGAGGGTGGCTGAGAGCCCAGACTTAGAGTCAGAGCGAACAGGACTTGATTCTCGTCTTTACCCCTGGGGCAAAATCATGTAACCTCCCTGAGCCTCGGTCTCACGTTTCTAAAATGGGCGTACTCTTACTTCCCACCAACCCGGATGACCACGAGGGTTAATTAACCCAACAACATGTAGCAAGTCCCTGGCGCCAAGAACCCAAGGACACCGAGGTATGGTCTTGTCTCAAAAAGGGTAACGTCCTTTTCTCTTGCCATGTTTCCATTGTTGGAGCTCTGCGGAGAGCCACCATAAAGAAGAGCAAGACAGACCTGCTCAACCCCGAAGAGGCTGAGGATCAGCTGGCCGACATCGCCTCTGTGGGTGAGTCCCTCCTGCCCCAGCCTGGTGCTCGGCTCTCACTGATTGTGCGAGAGATGGGAGCTGAAGGGCTGGGAACCACGGTCCCTCGATTTGGGTCCCTACTCTGCCCCTTTCCGCCTGTGTGTCCTGGGGCAGATGATGTGATGATGGGAATAACAGCAGTGCCTGTCTCCTAATCCCATTGTGAAAACTTAAACAAAAGAATCCACATTAAGCATTTAGAAGGGTGCCTAGCAGAGAATAAGCTCCCAGTCATGATATTAGGGTTCATTAGTGCTCACTGAGGGGCTGCTGTTATTAGGTGCCAGCTGTGAACAAGACAGGAGCCAAATCCCTACCCACGTGGAGCTTGCAGTCAAGTGCAGGACACGGATGTTGAACAGATAATTACCGAAATAAATCTGTCATGGTAATGGTGCTGCAGAGGAGACACGCCGGGTTTGGCCTGCTCTGGAAGAATGGGGTGTGATCAGGGAAGCCTTCTCAGAGGAGGTGACACTGAAGCTGAAAACTGAAGGATGGGTAGGAGTTCGCTATGGCAGTGAAAGCAGAGAGAGCCATGGGGCAGACTGTACTCCGTCTGTTGCTGTTGGCTGTCGCCGAGGGCAGGGTTTGAGGGGGAGGGGACACTTACCCTTCCCCTGCTCACCCCTCCTGATTGTGTTGCTTTTGACCTTCTCCGAGTAATGAAAGTGGGAGAGCATCCAGACAGGGGAAATAACACATGACTCTGAGGGGAGAAGGCATTTAACCTGTGTGGTTGGAGGAAGAAAGAGGGGGCAGGAAAAGAGAGACAGGAGGAAAAACTAGAGGCAGAGAAACAAGAAGGTGGGGGGAGCCTGGGTGGCTCAGTCGGTAGAGCATGCATCTCTTGATGTCCAGGTTGTGAGTTCGAGCCCCACGTTGGATGCAGAGGTGACTTAAAAATAAAATCTTTTAGGGGAGCCTGGATGACTCAGTCAGCTAAGTGTCCAACTCTTGATTTCAACTCAGGTTCATGAGATGGAGCCCCGCATCAGGGTCTGTGCTGAGCGTGGAACCTGCTTAAGATTCTTTCTCTCCCTCTCCCTCCGCCTCTCCCCCCCGCCCAAAAAAAAACAGCAGGAAGGAAGGGGAGAAGGGAATTTAACATATACACATAGTTCCAGTCTACAGGCATCATCTATTCTGTACTCTGCTGTTTTCACTCCACCCTAGTTTTTGACCTGAATGCTAAGTTTCAACATCATTCCCACTGCAGTCCCATACTCCATAAGGGTGGCTACACTGTAGTTTGCTTGGCCGTGGCCCTATCATGTGGTGTTGGAGTTGTTTCCAATTTTTGCCCCAATGAGAAGCACCGCTGCGAACATTGATGTACAATTACTCCCCCCACCCTTTGGGCGTGTTTCCTTGGGGAATAATTATAGGATCAAAGATATTGATAGCTTTTCAACTCATTATTCACAGAACCATTCTGAGTTTCCAAAGCACTGAACCCATTTATAAACTTGCCAAGTACTCATACGATCACGGATCCCCCATCCCGGCCACTGCGTATTTCCCCTTTAATTTCCTTTCCCAGTGAAGTAGGTCTGTAATGATACCTTAAAGCTTGTTTTAATTTGCATTTTTAATTTCTAGCCAAAACACTCTTTTCCTTGTAACGATGAACTAGTTCTATTTCAACTTGTGGAATACATCTGTTTCCCTCCTTCCAGCAAGTTCAAGAACGGGAGTGCTCCGTCAGTGTTCTGTGTATTTGATGGGTTCTGTCTGGCCCACACATTTTCCCAATTAGGTTGCCTCCATTTTTTTTTTTAATGTTTTGTTGTATTTTGATAGGCAAATATATTTTGTTCATACCACATGTTTTAAATGCCAGGCGCTGAAAAAAAAAATTGGCATACTCAAGTCAGGATCTCCCCTATGGATAAGATTGGTTACCTGCTCTTAATTGGCAGAGAAATTATTTTTCATCAGTCATTCTAGAAAAGATGGAAAAGTGACACTACCCAGTGTTGGCAAGGATGTGGGGAAATGAGCATTGTCATATGTTGTTGGCAGGCGTGTAATTTGCAGTGTTTCCAATATATGGTTTGGTATTATTTAATTATGGATGTTTATTTTCTTTGACCTAGCATTTCCGCTTCAAAAACATTTCTTCCATGTGTGCAAAAGGCCTATGCCTCTTCTCAACAGTGTTGTTTCTGGTGTTCAAAAAAGTGAAAACCAGAGATGCACCTGGCTGGCTCCGTCAGTAGAGCATGTGGCTCTTGATCTCAGGGTCGTGAGTTCAAGCCCCGCATCGGGTGTAGAGCTTACTTAAAAATAAAATATTTTTTTAAAAAGTGAAAACCACAGGATGCCTGGGTGGCTCAGTCAGTTAAGCGTCTGCCTTTGGCTCAGGTCGTGATCCTGGGGTCCTGGGATCGAGCCCCATGTCAGGCCCCCTGCCCAGTGGGAAGTCTCCTTCTCCATCTCCTACAGCTCCCCCTTGTTCGTGTTCTCTCTCTCTAGCTCTCTCTTTCTCTGCCTCTCAAATAAATAAATAAAATATTTTTTTAAAAAGTGAAAACCAGGGGGCGCCTGGGTGGCTCAGTCGTTAAGCGTCTGCCTTCGGCTCAGGTCATGATCCCAGGGTCCTGGGATCGAGCCCCGCATCGGGCTCCCTGCACTGCGGGGAAGCCTGCTTCTCCCTCTCCCACTCCCCCTGCTTGTGTTCCCTCTCTCGCTGTCTCGCTCTCTGTCAAATAAAGAAAGAAAATATTTTTAAAAATAAATAAATAAATAAAAAATAAAAAGTGAAAACCAGAAACAACCCACGTGCCCAGAAATGGGGACATGACTAAAGAAATTACAGTATTTATACATGATGGACTATTATGCAGCCAGGAAAAAGAACAGGGTTGCTACTGGCATGGAAAAATGTTTGAAATCAATTTCTCAATGAAAAAAGCAAGTTGGGGCGCCTGGGTGGCTCAGTTGGTTGGGCGACTGCCTTCGGCTCAGGTCACGATCCTGGAGTCCCGGGATCAAGTCCCGCATCGGGCTCCCTGCTCGGCAGGGAGTCTGCTTCTCCCCCTGACCCTCCTCCCTCTCATGCTCTCTGTATCTCATTCTCTCTGTCTCAAATAAATAAATAAAATCTTTAAAAAAAAAAAAGAAAAAAGCAAGTTGCACAGCATTATGTAAAATTTATGATCCCATTTTAAGAACAATATTAAGTATAGCTACTTAAAAATGTGGAAATTGGAGGATTGAAAGGGATTTTCACTCTCTGTGTGACATTTTTCTAAAATGTACGAATTAGTGACAGGCATTACTTTTGAAATAAAAAAAAGTAATTACATGAGTTATAAGTTTAAGTTACTTAAAAGCGACAAAGTCTAATTATGAGGAATCTAATGGCTGGCTGTATGGGCAGGGAGGAATTTGGTGGAAAAGCAAAGCTTCACGAAGAAGTTTTTAAACTGGGCTTTATGCAGAACGGGGTGCGTGCATCCATTTATGAGGGCTGCCATGTTATAATACCACAAACTGGGTGGCTTAAAACAACAGAAATCTATTTTCTCACAGTTCTGGAGGCCAGAAGTCCAAACTAAAATCAAGGTATTGGCAGGGCCGTGCTGGCTCTGAAGGCTTCAAAGGAGAACCCGTTCCCTGCCCCACACAGCTTCTGGGGGTGGTGGCAATCCTCGGCTTCTGTGTGCCTCACTCCAGTCTCTGCTTCTGTCGCCACATGGTCTTCCTGTGCACCTGTGTGGCTCCTCTCTTATAAGGACACCAGTCACGGGATTTAAGACCCACCCTAATCAAGTGTGACCTCATCTTAACTTGATTACAGCCGCAAAGACCCTACTTCCAAGTAAAGTCACATTCACGGGTACTGGGTGTTAGGAGTTCAGCACGTCTCTCCGAGGGACACAGTTCAACCCACAACTTAGGCAAGACCTATTTCCATTTACAGAGAATTTTAAGGACCTGTCAATTGCCCCAAATCCCCAGATTAAACCTGGGTGGTGACAGACTACCATCCTCACCAGAGAACATTCTAGACTGCTACTAGCCACCTGTAGCTCTTGATCCCTTGAGTATAGCTGGTGTGAACCAAGATGTGCTTCATTCTAACACATCAGATTTGGAAGTTCTAGTACCAAAAAAAAAAAAAAAAGTGTAAACCATCTCTTTAACATGTATCTATACTGATGCTATGTTGAAATGATAATACTTTGGATCTGTTGGGTTTCATAAAGTTTCTTATTAAAATATTTTTAAGATCTAAAGATTGCCTGCAATTACAATTCCAGACCACAGAGAAAAATCAGAGATGAGGATGGGTCAAGGTGGAGCATGAAATACAACACAGATGAGAATACACCGCTAATACGGGCCTAGCATGTAGTAGGTGTTCAATTAACATTTGCTTCTCTTTCCCTTCCCCAAGAGTGCTGTGCTTGAGGGATGTGCTTCCAGGCCAGTGATCAGGAAAGACTTGCTCCATAAGTTGGCATGTGAACCAGATCCTCATTGTATCTCTTGGGGTTACAGTATAAGATTATCATGGCCAATAAGCATAATGTGCCAGCATCATGCTAAAGTGTATTCCCCCCCACAGCCCTGCAAGGTGGGAAGTGTGGTTGTCCCCAGTTTACAGATGGAGACACTGGAGCCCCAAGATGCAAGGTGACTTGCCCAAGGTCATTTGGTGGTTGGTGATAGAACCAGCTTTTCAGGGTGGCTCCAGCAAAAGTAGGGGTGGGAGCCTCCTGCCCAGTGACTGAGCTCTACCCCAACTCTCTCCCTCTCCTTCTCTCCCTCCTTCTCCCCATGGAGCATCCCAACCTGACCTGAGACCTTCGAAAGTCTCATTCCTCTCTGTCATGCCCTGTGGATGCTTGTGGGTCTGGGCACATCTTTGGGAGCTACAGAGACCAGGGCCAGAAATGCCCCAAGTGGGAAGGACCATGAGGAGCCACCTTGGGGTTCTCAATGCCTGTGAGGTCAGGCAGGTGATGGACATGAGAGAGGTGTCCAGCTACAAGGCCTGGCCAGCTGCTGCTGAGCAGGAGTGTGTTTAGAAATTTGTGAATAGGGAGAAAGTGGCATTCTGCGAGATGTCTGCTGTGTCCAGTGCCTGGCTGGTGGGATGGGGTTGATGCACAAGCTGGATGGACGAATGAGTGACTGGACAAATCAGCTAATGGATGCATGAGTCAATGAACAAGCCAGTGAATAGGTGAAAGAGTGAATGAGCCAAAGAACAATAAACAAATGAGTGCAATTGAAGGTTTTCAAAAAGAGATCATTTTGGAAGATAAAATCAGTTCATCCAAAACTGAGCTCCGAACCTCCCCACAAACCTGTCCACTCTCATTGGAGGGCAGCTCTGTCCCTCCAGGGGCTCAGACCTAAAATCTTGGTTCCTCCCTCTCTCATACACTCACACTTGATCCAACAGCAAGTGTTGACATCTCCCTTAAGGAATACATCCCAAATCGGCCCACTCTTCTGCTTTCTCCGCCACCGCAGAGTCAAGCGGCGTCATTGCTGGCCTGGACCAGTCACCCTTTCTCTGTTCCTGCCCTGGCCTTCCACAGTCTGATCTACCCACGGCTGCCAGGGGGCGCTTGTGAGCACCTGAGTAGGGTCCCCTCCCTCCTCTGCTCAAACCTCCGTAGTCCCCATCTCATTCAGAACAAAAGCCCAGGTTCTCCCCACAGCCCATGAAGCCCTGCTTGTCCCACACTGTCCCCTCCCTGTCCTCACCAACTCCTTCTCTCTCCCTCAGCCACTCCACTCCGGCCATACTGGTTTCTGGATGCCATTCCCCAAATATGCCAGGCAGGCATATTTCTGCCTCAAGACCTGTTAACTCTTCCTACAAAACTGAGATGACTTAGGTCAACACCTTCACCTTGACCACTTGACTTAATATGGCAGTCTGCCCCATGGTCCCTTCTGGGGCTCTCCATCCCCTTACACTACTTTTTCTTTTTCCCAAAGTTCTTTGTAACTTGCATCACACTATTAATTTACTTTTTTATTATATTTGCTGTCTCTCTCCCCAAATGGAGATTGGGCCCAGAAAGGCAGGGCTCTGTCTGTTAACTAGTGTATCCTGAACACCTAGAATAGAGTCTGGCACACAGTAGATGTTCCGCAAGTAAAAGCATATGCAGGCAGATTCCTTGGTGGCTCATTCCTTGGTGGTCATGCCTAAAGTGAAGTGTCCATGGAAACTAGGGTCCTATTCACACCTCTTCCTGGAGGCCTCCCAAGCATGCAGCATGCAGCTCTGCTGCTTGGCCCTGCACCAAGGGTCCTGAGCTCCTTCCTCATTCCCCCTGTGGCATGACCCCCAGAATCATCAGATGTGGCCAGGAGAGGGAGACACAGAAAGTTGACTCCATCAGTGGAGAGCCATCTGCCTCCCCACTGACATCCAGAACTTTCATTGGTTGTTTCCAATACTATTATTTTTGCCTTCTTGTAAGCTCCGTCTCTGGAAGGCTAAGCCCTGGGTCATGTTGGTTCCCTCGGGCCAGAGGGCTCACCAGGGAGGCTAATGGATCCCCTGGCCCGATTCCATGCCTGGGTCGCCCATCAGTTAATTTCCTCCACAGGAACACCCTGACATTCTCTATCCTTTCCTTGGCAGGGTCTCCCTTTGCCCGAGCCAGCATTAAAAGTGCCAAGCTGGAGAACTCGACTTTTTTTCACAAAAAGGAGAGGAGGATGCGTTTCTACATCCGCCGCATGGTCAAAACTCAGGCCTTCTACTGGACTGTGCTCAGTCTGGTAGCCCTCAACACGCTGTGTGTTGCTATTGTTCACTACAACCAGCCCGAGTGGCTCTCCGACTTCCTCTGTGAGTACCACCCGGCCCTGCACCCACCCGCTCCCCAACCCTTCCTCACACCCTTTTCCCTTCCCCTCCTCTGGTGGTGTGTGTTCCTTCCTTGGCTCTTGTTGAATCTGTCCTTTCATTTGGGTGGGTCTGTAACGGCTACCACAACAACAGAGCCCATCTTCTTTGGGCCTGGGGGCTGGAAGCTGGAATTCAGGCCACCAAATACTACTGTGATGCTTTTTTAAGAGAGAGGCATAGGGACACTGGTGAAAGGGGCGTTGGAAGAGAGACAGAAAAGGGTAGAGACCACAGAACAGCCAGATAGAGACAGAAACACACATCTAATTAATGGGTGTATCTCTGAGGATGTTAAAATAAGTAATTTGTGGTTGAGAGATGGGGATGCTTTAGGAACAAAGAGTGGCCCTTATGTTGTCTCCATTTTCTCTGCTCATTTCTGACACTCCTGGCTTCTCCCCTCTTCTTTCAAACCTTCTGCTTTTCCCCCCTTTCCTCTCTTGCTCTTTTTGACTTCCTTAACCCTGGAATTCATTTCTAGAAGATCTCCTCCAACAAGTGTGAGGACATCTTGCTCCCTCAGTGGGTACCAGGACCCCTAAGGCTTTGCCCTTCTGGGCCTATTCCCAGATTCCAGGAGTTAGCATAAGATAGTATCAAAGTTGATGGCCAGGTGAGGGTGAGGAGAAGCAGTGAAAGGTAGGGAGACTTCTAACCAGTATTTAGAAAATAAAGAGCTCTGAGAAATCAACAAGAGTAGTGTCTGGGTAGTGAGGAAGGCAAGTCCATGCCCAGGCTCTGGCTTGTGGGCCCCAAGTGAAGATTTCCCTCAACCTTTTTGCCTGATGGCTGCCCTCCTCCTGCATGTACTGGGTTTATCTGACTTAGGTCTGTGGCTTCTTTCCCCTTCTGACCTCTTTTGGAATTGACCCAGACAGCCAGTGGAGATAGTCGAGTCTTCAGCCTGGAGAGGCCCAGGAGCCTGGTCCAGGTCATTGTTTCCTTGTAACCTTCCTTGTTCTCGGTCACATTGGTTGACCCCCCTCAGGACACCCCCCAGGGACCAGCTCTCCTTCTGACCTAGTTCCAAACTTAGTAATTGCATTTGGTCCCCCTGGAGTCTTACAAATGAGGACTCTATACTTCTTGTCTTAACCTCCTCTTATAGTCTATTTTTAATCTCCCATATTCTCTGCACTAATCACTTTGCTCTGTCTGTCCTGGTTCAGGAACAGGGGGTTGGGACTTCCTGCCCTGGGCCTCTGTGTCTGTAAAGGTCCTTTAATTATCCCCAGTTGAGAAAACTGAGACACAGAAAGGTTAAGTAACTTGCCCAGGGTCACACAGCTAGTAAGTGACAAAGCCAGGATTTGAACCTAGAATCCAAGCTGTGTCTGATGACAGATCCCTTCCCTGGTCACCAGGTGACCTGGATTCTCAATGTCTGCACTGCTCCTAACTCATCATGTGACCCTGGACAAGTCACTCCCATCATCCACCAATCGAAAGCATCTTCATTTATAAAGCACCCTTTTATCTTATTTGCCACTAAGAAATAAAGCAGTGCCTCCATCTTACACTGAGACATGTCAATTTTAAGATACACCCCAAAGTGTGTGTCTTGGAATCAGCGACGTGTGGTAGTTTCCCAGGGTCTCAAATTTCTCATCTGAAAATTGGCGTTGATGGCCCTGAAAGTTCTTCCGGACCCACCAGTGCTACAGACAATTCTCTCAGGTCTTGTGCATTGCCAGCTATCAGGTTTCCATGGTAACTGGGAAGCAAGCATCTCAGAAACTCTTAAGTACTCCCAGAGTTGTTTCTGGTGGTTCTTAGAATACACCAGATGTTATAGACAGATTTCCCTTGCTGATATTTTGGCCTGACGATCCTAGAGACCTTGGTTTCCTTCAGATACTAGGAGCTCCCTGGAGTCCAAAAAACTAAGGGGAAGTTTCAATCAGGAATGAATGCGAAGGACCTTGACAGTTCAAACCATCTCTTAAAAGAATGATTTAATAAACACCCTTGACTTTCAAACAGAATTAGTTATGTGACCAAAATTGACATTCTTGGAACTTTTGAGTCCTGCGTCTTCCTTTCTATATGTTTTCTTCCCCTGAGACACCCTCCATATCCCCGCTTCCCATCCAGGGGTGAATATCCATACCCTTCCTGATGACTCATCTTCCTACCCCACCAAGAAAGCTCTCTCAGAAAAGGTCCTGAAATTAGCCATGCCTTTGCTGTAGCAGACAAATACCCTTATGTTACCTCTCCCCAAGGCATTTGCCATTATGCTTTCTCACCAAAGGACAAGAATGCTTTATCTTGTTGAAGACTTTTAGACATCAGCAAGACAGGATTTTGCCAGGGGACCTCAGATAGGTTTTCCAAGTTGGGAGAAAAGCTGTACCTTAGATGGGTTGCCCCTGAATCTCCAGCTAAGTCCCTGACACAAGGATTACTAAGAGGACACCATTATGATTTCTATTTCTATTTTTCCTTTCAAGCTCAGGCATATAAAAGTGGATTAATCATCATTCTTAGATTGTGATACACTGGCATCCTGGGGCCATTGGCTATTTTGTTAGTTAGCCAGTTAGTTTGTTAGTGCATTAGTTTTAAAAACATGGTAAGCACCCAGGAACCCACCAGCCAACACAAAACCTGGGTCCTTGGCCATGACCCACGTCCAGCCCTTCTCACTGAACCAGGGCAAAAACTACAAGGGGGAGAACCAGGGAACTTTTCCTCACTCCTTTTTAAGATTGGTCAGGGGTTGGTGGGTTGGAGGGTGGGGGGCCATTGTTGTTCCTCCCCTTTAATAGAGGAGAAACTGAGGCCCATGGAAAGGAAGCCTTGCATAATCTTTGGCCAAGGCCACCAGTAACTCTCCTCTCTCCCTGCCTCCCCAGGCCAGAGCAGGACGGGATTGCTATTAACAGGAAAGTCAGAGCCACCTGGAACTATCCCCACCCCACAAACTTAACCTCCTCTCCGTTTCCCCCCCTCTCCCCTTCTAGACTATGCAGAATTCATTTTCTTAGGACTCTTTATGTCCGAAATGTTTATAAAAATGTACGGGCTTGGGACACGGCCTTACTTCCACTCTTCCTTCAACTGCTTTGACTGTGGGGTAAGTGTTCTGGTTGGTAAGGAGTTCATTTCTCCAGCTCTTGCCTAGCATGGCTGAGACCTGGGGACATCAGAAAGGGAACGATGGGGTCACCCCTGGATGCAAGAGACTTGGCCAAATGTGGAAGGAATGAGAGGGCCATCCCAAATATTGGTGAGGATGCAGAGCTCCAGGGAAGTGTGCAGACCCTCCTTTGCAGGGGGGATTTGGCGATTCCCCTGCTTGGGCTTCATGCAAGAGCAGCTCACAAGAATGCCCTGAGTGGCTTTGTTTGTAATAGCCCAAACCAAACGACCCAACATCCCTTTGCAGTAGCACAGATAAATAAGTTGTGACATAGCTATATAATGGAATTCTCCACAGCGATGAGAGGCAACCAGCAACAGCCCCACCTAACAACTGGATGAATCTCACCTGCATGATAATTGCACAAAAGAGGCAGACACTGACAAAAACCAGTCCGTACAGCATCTTTCTGCTGATGGAAGTTCAAATGGATAAAACTAAACCATATTGGCTAGGGATGATGCTTGAAAACTTTAAAAAGGCAAGGACCTCGAAAACATTATGCTAAGTGAAAGAAGCCAGACCCAAAAGGTCACATACTGCATATTTCCATTTAAATGAAACGTCCAGAACAGGCAAATCCATAGAGACCGGAAACAGATTAGTGGTTACTGGGGCGGTGGGGGGTTGGGGGACAGTGCTCATGGGGTCGGGCTCTCTTTTGGGGGTGATGAAAATATTTTGGAACTGGAGAGAGGTGAAGGTCACACAACGCTGTGAATGTGCTAAATGCCACTGAGATGTGTGCTTCAAATGGTTAGTTTTGTCTTACGTGAATTTCACTTCAATTTTTTAAAAATGCAAGGAAATGGTTATTACAAAATTCAGGATGATGGTTATCTCTAGGGGTCCCTTGAGGCTTCCAGGATGTTGACATGTCTTATTTCTTGATGGAGGTGGCAGTTACATGGATCTTCACTTTGCAGTTACACATTTCAGGAATTCTTTGCTCGGCGTGACTTACCATTCAATTTTAAGAAAGGGATGGGAGGAGTCTGAGACCCTCATCCTGCTTCCATTTGACGGCAGCTGGGTTGGATTCCTGCAAGGCTCAGAGCCAGGGCATGTTTTCCAGGTCTCTGGACACGAGACCAGGTTCTCTGTTCTAGGTTATCATTGGGAGCATCTTCGAGGTCATTTGGGCTGTCATAAAACCCGGCACATCCTTTGGAATCAGCGTGTTACGAGCCCTCAGGTTATTGCGTATTTTCAAAGTCACAAAGTAAGTCCTTGGAGTTCCCTGGCATCCCAGCAGGGGTGAGGATGGGGACCAGGTTGGAGCCACCTCCAGCACCTCCAGCACGTCCAGCCTGACCACCCCTCCTCCACCCGGCCTCTGTTGGCAGGTACTGGGCATCTCTCAGGAACCTGGTCGTCTCTCTTCTCAACTCCATGAAATCTATCATTAGCCTGTTGTTCCTCCTTTTCCTGTTCATCGTTGTCTTCGCCCTTTTGGGAATGCAACTCTTTGGTGGCCAGTAAGTGCTCAGCAGATTCCCCGACTTCTGCTTCCCTGGGGTCAAGTGCCCCCGGACCCAGGTCCAATGCATCCAGAGACCCACGCTCACCTGCATCCCGCAGACCACCCTTCCTCATGGCCCGGACGCCCAGTGCACTCACCCAAAAGGGCGGGGCCCTGGGTACCAGTCAGGGTTTCTTCTGAGGAACAGAGATGCTGGAGATGTTGCCCTGGAAACTGGATGCTGAGCCAAGCCCTCAGAGCACCCGGGCGGGGCCAATGTGAAATGCCTATGTCCTCCCTGCAGGTTTAATTTTGATGAAGGGACTCCTCCTACCAACTTCGACACTTTTCCAGCAGCAATAATGACGGTGTTTCAGGTACAGTCTTCACCCGGCCCCTTGGGTGGATGCCCCTTAGTGTCAAAGATTAAAGGGCCCGTTCAGCGTATGAGGGGCTTCCTTAAATCCCTCTTTCTCTGCTTTGTCTTGCCCTTCTGTTTTAAAATACAGGTTTTATAATTAATTCAGGTATGGTGAGGCCAACAGATCAGTAGATAACTGCCATTGGAAAGACAGTTTGTTATACTTGCAGATCCCAAGAGAGGGAGTCATGCATGCCACGCAGGGCCACACGGGGAAGAACCAGGGTGGGTCAGGAGGCAAAGGGAGGGGGTACACGAGCACAAGGCTTTGACTGTGGTTTCTGCAGGAAGGATCAGCAAGGAAGGCAGGCTAAGCAGATTCAGAATTGGCTAGTTTGAAGGATCTCAGTGGGCTCTGGGCATCAGGGCTGTCTCGGGTTGGCTGATACCTGCCCTGAGTGCCTAGGGCAGGGGATTTTGGGCTCTGAGTGTAAGAGCCTATAGAGCAGGTGGTTGGGAGTGCAGGCTCTGGATTGGTTGGTTTGCATTTGAAAAGTGTGCTCACAAGGCAAGTTGTTTACTATTTGTAGGAATTAGCTGGCCCTAACTCCTGCTGCCCCATGTCAAAGCATCAGAATAGAGAAAATAAAAGACATGATTGCTACACCCACCCTCCCCAGATTGGAAGACACACTGATCCCCCATTCTAAGGCAAAATAGACCTTGGGCGGTCTCCCCAAAGCAACTTCTGCACCTATGTGGACATATGCCCTGAGGTTTGGACCTGACCTTGCTCAGGACCACCAGAGCCTTTCTGGTGGGTTCTGTCTCTTTGGGGTGAGGGGGACAAGGGAGTTTATGGAAAATGTGACTTCACTCTCTCCCTCTCCTGGGAGGGTAATTTCTAAATGAGACCGCCTAGACCAGGGGTTGGGAAGGGAAACCACCCATGAAGTTCTGAGCCCCCACATACATGATTGCTAATAGTTGTAATCACCACCCATATATCTTTAGCACAGGGCTTCTTGTCCGAGAGGGATTCTGTCCCCCAAGGACGCTTACTTGGAATTTCTGGAAGCATTATTGGGTGGAGGCCAGGGCTGTTGCTCAGCACCCCACAGTGCACAGGACGGCGCCACCACAGAGAGTGACCCGGCCCCAAATGTCAGCAGTGCCGAGGCTGAGAAACCTGCATTAACGGATTGACATTTTTGGAGTTCTTTCACATTTACTTTATCCTTGTGAAAATATTACAAAGGAGGGAAGTTGGATTTTTTTTTTCCCGATGAGCACGCCTGTCCCCTTAGTGCATCCCATAAGCATCGGGGCAACTTATATTTGCCGGCGCCTGCATCCCTGTGCCTGATGCGTCCTCTGGTCACTGGCTCCCGCCCTGCCCCCAGGCCCAGCAGTCCAGAAGGACCAGTGAATATGTGGCTTAAGCAACAGAGCTCGGGAGGCTGGAAGTCCATGACCGGTGTGCTCACAGGGTTGGTTCCTGGGTAGGACTCTCTTCCTGGTTTATGGGTGGCCACCTCCTTACCCGGCACAGAGAGAGAGACAGACCACGTTCTCTGGTGTCTGTTCTTAGAAGGAAAGGCGCCGATCCCATCCCGAGAGACCCACCAGCATGGGTCCCATCCCCAAATACTGTCACATGAGGGTTGAGAGCTTCAAGCAATGAATTTAAGGGGTACATCTCCATCTGTAGCAAATCCCCTTATCATACCATGGAAGACAGAGTTGCAGAAAGATTTGTGACCCCACCAGCGTCACCTTTTCCTAGAAGCCAGACTGAGGGCCCCTCAGGGCAGGGCTGGCCCTTCCCACTCACAAACGAGGCAAGACCCCCCTCCCCCAGACAAGGGCCCAGGAAGAGCTGCCTTGGGCAGGTTCCAGCCCCACAGCTGCGTCTCCGCGGGGCCCGTGGCTGAGAGGGGTTGGCTGTGTGTTTCTCCGTCCCCTTTCAGATCCTGACGGGCGAAGACTGGAATGAGGTCATGTATGACGGCATCAAGTCTCAGGGGGGCGTGCAGGGCGGCATGGTGTTCTCCATCTACTTCATCGTGCTGACGCTCTTCGGGAACTGTATCCTCCATGGGGGAGGTGGGGCAGGCCTGGGCGGCTGGCGGAGCAGATGGGGGGGGCGGCAAGGGAGGGTCCGGGAGGTCCCGGTAGCCAGGGTCCGAGTGGCGGTGCTTTCCCTGACTCCAGCGCCTGCAGACACCCTCCTGAACGTGTTTTTAGCCATCGCGGTGGATAATTTGGCCAACGCCCAGGAGCTCACCAAGGTGGAGTTGGTGGGAGAACGTTTCTCCCTGTGGCAAAGTTACCACCTGCTCTTGGCAGATCAGGCCTGGGCTGGGTGTGGGGGGTGGGGAAAGGGTTAGAGCTTTTGCCCAGAATGCACCGGGCCAGGGAGGAGGCACCCCTTCCCCCTGAAACAGACTGTCCCTGACCAAGCGGATTCCAGAGCAGAGGAGGTGGGAGGTGGTAAGGCAGAGGGGCTGCCACAGGGAACAGATGGCAGACTCCACCGGAGTGCCCATTCATAGGGAGTAGGCAGCATCAAGGGACCTCCAAGGAATGGTGTAGTCCCCAGGCTAGCAGGCATTGTCACCACCCTAGGGCTGAGAGGACGGGACAGATGGGGTATAACCTGCACAGGGTCCGGAGGCTCCATGCGTGGCCCCATGAGCTTGGGAGCTGGCAGGACTTCGCCTCCAAGTGGCAGCAGTAAAGAATTAGGTGATGCTCACGGTGCCAGGCATTGCTGCCATTTCCCTTTTGCAGAAGGGGAAACTGAGGCTCAGAAAGGCAAAGTCACTGGCCCCAGATGGTAGGATAATAGCAGCTACTATTTATAACATCACACAGTGCACAGGCACTCAACACGGTTCTTGCTATACAGTAAGTGCTCAATAAAGGGAGCCTGCATCGGTCACTAGGCACGACCTGGCCCTAGAGCTTTCATTGGACAGAGCTGGTAAAAGAAAGCCTGAGAACCCAGGCCTGACAAGCTCCAGAACCTGAGTTCTTTACCTACAGGCTCTGCTGGCTTTCACTGGAGCTCCATCTGAGCAGGAAAAGATACAAAGTAAAAACCACAGTGAAAGAGATGGGGATTTACTGTTCTCCCCATTACACAGATGGGAAAGCTGAGGTCCAGAGAGGTTTAAGTGACCTTGCCACATAACTAGGAGCTGAAAGAGCAGAGATGTGATCCCCTCAAGAAGCAGAAATGAGAGAAGAGCTGAGGACAATGAAGTCAGGAGATAATTTGGGAGAGGGGGCTGAGAACCATCCACGCGAGAAGCCCAGTTATCACTCCTGTCAGTGATGTTGAATTACCCAGGCAAAACTTGCTGGCAGACGCCCCTTTGAGCAGCCTTGAACTCCCTGGGACTCAGGTCCAGCTCAGCTAGGCACAGAGGAGGCAACATTTCTTTCAGTCCCACAGCTCACCTCCCTGGGATAGCCCATGAACAGGGCCGCGGGGAATGGTTATGCAGGTTGTACATTGCGCAAAGGAAGCTGGGCACATTTTCTTGCAATTTGAGAGGAGGGTGTTGGGAAACAGCCCCATCGCATTAAGAGAACATGTGCAGAGTCTTCCTGTCAGCCCAGGAGGGCCAGGCCTGGGGCATCCCTCCGCTTCACGGGCCCATCTCCCGAGCCTCGAGGTGTTGAACCAAACTGAGTGGACGCTGCCAAAGCCTCCATCTGCTGGCCCTGGCAGGAGGGACGGAGAGTTTCCTGGGCTCCGCTCCGAGTCAGGGGAAACGGAAGTCTCTGCTACCCCAAGCACACGGCCCCAGGCCTAGTCACCATGGAGCCTGCTGGCTCCAGGGGCTGATCCAACCGTGTGCTCATCCAAGTTCCAGGAACCCATCCTCAGAGGCTGTCACCGGGGAGAGGGTGCACCAGGAGGGTGGGAGAAGGGGAGGGAGAGAGGCAAGATCATCTATGAAGGATGGACATTCTCCTCCAGACCCATATTGTTTCCTTCATTTATTCTACAAGCATTTCTTGAGCGTTTCATACAAGGCAGGTACCCTGCTTTGCCCCTAGTGTCTTTTCATCTCATTGAATCTTCACAGAAACCCTGAGAAGTAAGTTCTCTGAGCCCCACTTTACAGACTGTGTCATTCATCCAAAAGCATTTATTGAGCACCTACTGTGAGCATGCTGGTCTAGGAGCCAAGGACACGGCAATGAACAGAATAGGCAGAAATATCTGCCCTCGTGGGGCTGACATTCCAGTGGGAGAGATAGACAAGAAATAAATATGTCAGATGGAGAGAAGAGCGAGGGAAGGAAAGTCGGGGAGAGTGGAAATTTTAGGTGAGGGTGGTGAGGCCCCGAGACGTGAGGCAACTGGCCTGACGTCAGCAGTAAGCGGAGGAGCTGAGATTTGAAGCCAGGTAGGTCTAGAACCTGCGATCTTAGCCACATTAGCTGCTGCTTGAACTTGACCCATGCTTGATACTCACCCGGGCGCAGATTCTAGGGCCCAGACCCGGGCTCTCGCAGGGGCCTGGGAGTCTGCATTTGCAGTGATACTAAGGCAGGTGGTCCAGGGACCGGGCTCTGAGAAATGCTGAGTGAGGTGCCAAGGAGGAAGGGAGGTCTTATGAGAAGGGCGGCCGGCTGGGTCCCACCTCCATGTTGTCACTGGCAGAGTGTCCTGATCTGAGCATTTCCGAGGTGGTAAGGTTGCTGCTTGCCCCAGAGATCCCAGCGCAGGGGGAGAGGTGCCCTGCCATGGCACGACTCTTCTTATGGGTGGGTTCATCTCTGGCCATTTCTTTCTCGTTGCTTTTTCTTTGCTTTTTCTTTGTTGGCTTTTCTGTTTTACGAATGAGGCCCCGCATGAAGGCTGAAGAAGGATTTAAAGCCCCAAAACATCTTTTTCTGTATGTATTTTTAAAACCTCTTCCCCCATCCTCCTCCTCTCTGAACCTAACCGGCTGAGAATATAAGCTCTCCTGAATCCCCCTCTGGAGGCTGTTGGCAGTGCATGGGATGGGCCAGGGGACGCCAGTTTTTTTTCTTCTGCACGTGGGGGCTAGTCAGTGTTTTTGAAAAGTCTTGGTTCAGAGAGCACAACCCAGAAGGTGAAGTGAGAAGAAAATCCCTGCATTGATTTCCAGCTCATTGAGACAGGGCGCAGACAAATCTCCATTGTGGGAGAGGAAGAGAGTCTTTTTTTTTCCTTTTGTTTTCTTTCTGGCTGTGTGCTAAAATAGGGTTAATAGTGAGCTGGATGTCGAGGCTGCATATAAAGGGGGTAGCAGTGCACTTGACCGACATTGGGCACCTGTTCCCACCTGCAGGCCTTGGCTCTGGTCGGTCAACACCCAGGCCACACAGGTGCTTATGAATATTCCACATGTTGCCCCTTATTAGCAATAGGGTCCAAGGTGAGGCTCCAAGGCCTACTCCATGTTTTGTGAACGGGGGACTCCATGTGTCTTTTAGGATGAGCAAGAAGAAGAAGAAGCAGCCAACCAGAAACTCGCTCTACAGAAAGCCAAGGAGGTGGCAGAAGTGAGTCCTCTGTCAGCGGCCAACATGTCCATCGCTGTGTAAGTGCTCCCAACTCCAGATTGCTCCTCAGCCTGTACCCCCTCTCCGGCAACTATCTGGGGGCAGGAAGCAGTCCCTAAGAGAGTTGAGCTTTAGGATGAGGTACTTCTGCTCTCCCACCACCTTTTACTTGATAAATAGTTAATAAGCACCTCCTATGTGCCCAGCCCTGTTCTAGCTGCTAGGGATGCAGGATTAACAAGAGGCTAAGGGGTGTACGAAGAGCTAGAGCTGGAGAGAGTTGGGCTTTTAAATAAAGTTGTCAGGGAAGGCCTTACTGAGAAGGTTATGATAAGACCTGAAGGAGGTGAGGGAGGAGCCATGGGGGGATCTGAGGGAAGAGCATACCAGGCAGCAGGAACAGCGTATACCAAGGCCCTGAGGCAGGAATGTGCCTGCTGTGTTTAGGGAACATGAAGGAGGCCATTGTGACTGAAACAGAGGAAGGGAGGGAGGAGAGCGGGAGGAAGTGAAGACAGACAGGTGACAAACAGATCTTGTGGGTCATGGGCGGGACTCAGACATTTGCTCTGAGTCAGGTGGAAGCTATGGAGGGTTCTTGAGCACAGGAAGGACAAGACCTGACTCGGGTGTTCATGGCCCTCTGGTAGCTGTCCGGGGAACAGACTGTGGGGAGCAAGGGTGGAAGTCAGGGGACCAGGTTGGAGAAAAACTACACTGGTCCATGCAAAAGAGACAGTGGGACTGGAGTAGGGTGATGGATGTAGCTGAATTCTAGACAGATCATAAAGATAGAGCGGACAGAGTTTGCTGGTGAAGCAGAGGTGGTGAGATGGTGGGAGCTGAGGTGTCTTGATTAAAGGGACATTCGTTGACACTGATATTCGGAATGGTGTCTGCGTCGGATGTCCCAGGGATTTTGCACACTGTGAGGCAGCGCATCACGTGACAGTGGGGAGGGGGCTTTCTTTGCCAAAGTGGAAGGAGGTGGCTGTGAAAGGGGAGCCCAGGAAAACACATAATCTGACAGTCTGTGGAAGGTGATGATCTGTATAAAACTATCAATGCACACAGAAATCCTGGAAAAGTGTATCCTCCGGGCTGGGCTCCACCTGGCCAACACTCCAGCAGCGGCCCTGTGGGTAAACAGGCAACCGTGGATAAAGAGGCGCTGCCCCCCAGACTCCCAAGCGCCCACCCCGGCTCTCCCTGGGACCACCCAGACCTCCCGTGACCCAGAACTGAAGGCTCATGCAGGCACCGTGGACGATTCCAGAACCTGCTCCAGGCCAATGTTCATTATGACTGGCTGTCTCAGAGGTTAAAATAGTTTGAAGGTCAAGGCTACATCCCCCAGGGGGTCATGTGCTACAATATGCAAAGAGTAGAGAAGACAACAGGGACACCCATCTGGGCTGAGACCTCCGCCATTAGACAAAATATGCAGTCAGACTGAGACACCTCACTGGATTGAGACACCCACCTGGGCCAAGGCGCTTGCTAGGCCAGGATGTCCAGCCAAGTTAAGTTTTCTGCACAGGCTGAGACACCTGGTTGGGCGGAGATACCCAAGCCAGGCCAAGATACCCTTCTGAGCTTCCATGTGCCCTGGACCAAGACCACCTGGGTTGAGATGCCCACTAGGCTGAGACTCCCGTTAGTCGGAGCGCCCTGAGCAGGCCACAGTGCCCCCGGGGGGGCTCTGAGCCCTGCACCCTCCCCTTGCAGGAAGGAGCAACAGAAGAACCAGAAGCCCACCAAGTCGGTGTGGGAGCAGCGGACGAGCGAGATGCGGAAGCAGAACTTGCTGGCCAGCCGGGAGGCCCTGTACAACGAGATGGACCCGGACGAGCGCTGGAAGGCCGCCTACGCCCGGCACCTGCGGCCGGACATGAAGACCCACCTGGACCGGCCGCTGGTGGTCGATCCCCAGGAGAACCGCAACAACAACACCAACAAGAGCCGGGCGGCCGAGCCCACGGTGGACCAGCGCCTCGGCCAGCAGCGGGCCGAGGACTTCCTCAGGAAACAGGCCCGCTACCACGACCGGGCCCGCGACCCCAGCGGCTCGGCGGGCCTGGACCCCCGCAGGCCCTGGGCGGGCAGCCCGGAGGCCGAGCTGAGCCGGGAGGGGCCTTACGGCCGCGAGTCGGACCACCCCGCCCG